ACCCACTGGTTGGTAGCAGGGAAGTTTGCTGCTTAAGCAAAAATAAACCTCTTCTTTTTGTAACCTCCCCAGTTGTGTTGCTGTAAGCAAGAGAAAACAGACACATACATATGAGACTAGCTGGGGCGGACCCAGGGCTTTGCTCACGGTTCTGGAGGTGCAAGGTTCAGGGGCTGCGTCTGGTGATGGCCTTCTCGCTGGCATGGTCAAGGGGAGTGTGCGTGTCTGTGTGGTCTCCCCCTTTTTTTTTTTTTTTTTAGAGAGAGAATTTTTTTTTTTTTAATATTTTTTTTTCAGTTTTTGGTGGTCTCAACATCTTTGTTTGTATGTGGTGCAGAGGATCGAACCCGGGCCGCATGCATGCCAGGCGAGCGTGCTACCGCTTGAGCCACATCCCCAGCCCAAGGTCTCTCCCTTCTTAACAGCTGCCAGGATTCCAGCACAGGGGCTCCACCTTAGTGACCTTATCTAATGCTGATCATCCCGAGGCCCCGCCTCTCGACATAACTCAGATTGTAACCACCTTCTTAACACTTCCAGCACATGGGCCCTTGGGGGACACTCAGGTCATATCCAAACCCACTTCTAAAATTCTTTTTTCAACATAATTCTCAAGATCAATGTCTGCATCTCTAATTTCTTACCCTAGCAACTGCATAGCTCTTTCAAGCCACCGCAAACTGTAGGTTCATGAGGAAGGCCACATCTTTAATCTTTGTTTCTGGACTGAGTTTTTAAATCTTTGTTGCTCAATTTTTTTTTTTTTTTTGGAATCATGATCTCCACTGCTTAGAATTAGAAGCACTCAGGTTTTTCCAGCTTTTGAGTTCTGCCTAATACAGCTCCCTACGGAATCTTTGAGGAACAAATTCTTCTCACTCCATCAGGGCTTGGTGAGGCTGTGTGGCCCTGTGCTTGGCTCTCCCTTCTCCTAGTTTGACCCACAGGGTCAGCTCACCACACAGACTAGTCAAGTTCTCTATTTTCTTGGATGCTTGCAAAGTCCAGGAGTGGGCTTATGACTCAAATTGGGTCAAAGAAAATCTTCTCTAGCCACATCATCCATTTCCCCTTCCCTTGGGGTCCTGTACTTAGGGCCTATGAGATGGTGTTCCTTTATTGGTTACTGTGGATACATTTGTTGCAAAATTAAGACCAGAAAAGGAGGAGGGAAGAGCTGAGTGACCTAGAGCAGCAGAGCACACTCCACTGTGTAAGTCTGTGTCCAGCACTGCCTGGAGCCAGTGCTTGGGTTTACTCCCTGTATGAGCCAAAAGTTTCTTGAAATGGTTGTATTCAATTTTTGATTCATTTTTGATTGTGTTGCTTAAGTTAATTGAGTTGGATTTTCATCCTTGTAATAGAGAGTGCTGACACTGCCCCAGTGCACTTCCGCCTCCCTGCTGTGTGGACGCAGTGCCTGCCTGCTCCCTCTGCTCTCCTGCAGCACAGGAGGCACCAGGTTCCAGGTCACTCTTGGTTCTTTTGTACCTTTGGGTCCTCACACTTGCTGTTCTCTCATCTGAGATCTGAGTCCTCTCTCTTACAGGGCCATGCCTCCTCTAGAAACCTCCCCTGGCCATCTTACTTAACCTATTTCCTTCAGGGAGATTCTGTACATATCTTGGTTATTTATGCCTTTGCCTGTTTATCGTCTGCATCTTCCCATTTCAACATAACTGCCTGGTTTCTGTTCTCGAGACTAAAAGGCTCAGGGGTCACTCCAGTTAAACTGGGCTAACTGGGCTTCGCAAAATAACCACACAAGAGACACAAATACCTTTTTCTTTGGGGTCTCTGTGATGGCTCCTCTGACCTTAAGGGTCTGCAGGAAGAGGGAGTGAGAGCCCGCGCTGACCCCTTTTATTGAGGAGAAGCTATTCAAATGAGGCAAGGGGCCAGGTTTCAGGGGGCTGAGTATCTTCATGATGTCCACTGTCAGCAGGTGGACTGACACCTGGGTAGGCCACACCCAAGGGCACAGTAAGAGAAGGGGACACACACAAGGCACTTCCATGGAAGATTCTATCCTAAACAGGGCAAGGGGTGATATTACAAAGGAACAGGTGAGCGTAGCTT